ACAATCGAATGTATCTTAGCAAACATTACAGACTATCTCGGTAAATTCTGATAACCAAACAATGAACAGTCAATTTGCAAATTAACAACCATTTGTTTCAATCTTCACTGTTTCTTCTCTAATTCCATTGCTCATGCATTTTCCTACCGATTGCGCTTCATTTCAGTTCTTTCTTCATCGGTCTTCTGCGAAAATACATTATATGTCTGACCCACACCATATACTACTTATATAGATATAAGTAGACAACACCACAAGATCACTTATTTTTAAATTTCAACCGATTTCGCTCTTATCGCTTGACTTATACTTCTCATCCTGTTTTTTTTTCACATCGCGTAGATGTGAGGTGTGACTACATGAAGTGATAGTGATAGATCATACGTTGATGAAGACCCATGAACTAAATATATATGAAGCGATTACTCACCGAATGCAATCGAAGGAGCTTGTGTAATATCACCAATCGATTGAAGTTAGACATGTAAGTCATTGAGTGTTTATTCAGTGATCTAACGGTTAAAGATTTGTTGCGAGACCTGAAGGTACTGGTTTTGGTCTCTGGAGGGGTCATGGTTGCTCACTATTGAAAAAACTCATGCTACTGCGAGATACCTAATCCATGACCCCTTATTTTCATTAGTAGTTTAGCAGTGATCGATCAGCGATGTGAACAATAAACTTCACGCATTTTCACAAAGACGTATACTAAATATACTAACTGTTTACTGCCCACTTTCTCAATTGTCTTTTTATCTATATGCCTAGCTTTCCTATTTATTTATTATGTTTTGGCAACAGTGTAAGCAATAAAGAATTATCATTCTGCTAATTTGTTAGTTTTAAATATTAGAACTGCTATCACAACAACATGATATATTCTGTATTATTTCTGTGCAACATTTAGTTTTGTATTCCCCCTATTTCACTTATATGTGATATTCGTGTAGTACATAATTGACAGCCTTTTAGTTAGAAAGCAGTCGTGTTTTTCGGATAGTACATAAAATCCAAACTTATAATTAGTCTTAGCAGAGATGGACAGTGGCTAACAAAATCGATGGGAAGATTCAAACAAACAATACCAAGTGAATTTATAATTAGTCTGTTTATTTATTGAGTCATGTGAATCTCTTTGTTAATATTTTATACATCAGTTTATTCTATGTTTATATGAATTTAATTAGTTTCAATGCTTTGAAACAGAATCAACCAAAAATTGCTTGTTGCTTATTTATGAATGATATATGAGCTGTTAATTAATTAACATAGATTTTCGATCGAATTATACTGTCATTATTTCTTCAGTGTCATTGTTTCATTAGTAGTTATCTTATGTAAATGTATATTTAAAACCTTTCAAGCCAGAAGGATCAATAGTCAGAAATAAACACAACAGTTCAATGATTATATTTGCATACGATTGTGAAGGAAATATTTTCTCAGTTTAGAATAAATAACATAGAAATATCGTAACTCATAGAATTTGTAGGTTTATGTGTAGCACAGAACAAACGTCTCTATATTTTCGTAATGAATGTAGATTTTTTATGATATTTTGTGTTTAACAAAGTATTCTATAATGCATATATATATATTTATATATATATATATCACTACATAGAATTAGACGATGTTAGTTTAGTAGGGTATCATTTAGTCTGTTATGTTTTGTTTTCGGTTACCTCTCTACTTTCAGACCATTACTGATTTGATAAAATCCAATTAGAATGATTACAGTATCTGTAGAATTTTGTTTTGAAAGAATGAAAGAAGTTGACTATTCACAGACATTCCGATATAGTTGAATCATTGATTATCAATAGATACTTATTGGAATGTTATCTATAGGAGCAACAAACATAGACAATATCCTTTTTTGGTTAAATGTTTTCTAATAGATAGTCATTCTAAGAATAATACTTTGTATGTTCTGAGAACAGGATGATACCATTTTCTACTAAATTCCTTTCAATAGTGATTTCGTTTTGTTTGGTTCTGCTATAACGTTATATTATCTTCACAGATGACATTAATGTGTTTAGGCTGATAATTTAATACCATGATGTAAATATTTGCTCAGTTAGTTTGATCTCAAATTGTTTTATATCAATGTATACAATTATATGTTATGTCTTAATTTTACATTATGACAAATAAATTATTCAGATCATACAATTTTAATAAAGTGAACACTAGAAATACGATCAAACATCATTCAAATTTCGGATCACGATGTAGTCAACTATATTGACGAATATATTGTCCAGTCATCATACCAATCATCAGGTCTTAATTTTAAAACTATCAATAATATTATAAGCAGAGATGGATAACGACCATTAATGCAATGCAAGAGGCATTCTTCGTCGTGTTTGGCACTCGTTAGCTGGCTGTAGTAGCATTCCAGCTTTATTGCTCAGCCCGGGACTCCTGACCAGCACCATTCGCTAAAAACGATATTGTTTTACACACATTCTTAAAATGTATTAACTTAGAAATACATGCAAAGTTAACTTATGATCTTCATACTTCATTATCCTTCCATTGTATGTCAATCGACAAAATAATTCACATTCGTTTTCAATACAAATATCCATTATTTATAAAAAATCCGAAAATTTCAAATACATTTGTTTACAAAGTATTAACGTTTCCCCAATTTGCTAAGAAATAAAAAAAGATGAAATACCAGAAGGTGATAATGTTAATAAAGTAAATGCTTATTTCTAAGACTAACACTAGTAATTTAACCAGCGTCTTGATAGTTGAATATATATATATATATATATATATATATATATATATGCATATCAACAAATCCAGATGGAGACAGCTAGTGCAGCAGTAACCTCTGAATCAGTAGGCCTCAACATACACAAGGGAAAAGCGAGATTGACAAATAGAACACAAATAACATCAACACAATCACATATAATGGAGAAACTCTACAACAGGTAGAAACATTTACGTGTCTGAATATCGTCATCGATAAACAAAGAAAATCCGATGCAGAAGTAAATGTAAAGATTTGCGAATCAATGGCAGCATTCCCACAATTGAAGAACATATGGAACTCAAAACAATTGTCAAACAATGTCACAGTCACAATCTTCAATACGAACGTCAAGACAGTCCTACTGTATGGAGCTGAGACGTGGAGAACTACTACGGCCATCGTCAAGAAGGTAAAGGTATTTATAAGTTGTTGTCTGCGCAAAATACTCAACATTCATTGACTGGACACCATCAGCAATGGCCTTCTGTGGAAGAGTACAAACTAGCTTCAATCTGAAGAGGAAATAAGGAAAAGATGTTGGAAGTGGATCGACATATATTGAGGAAATCACCAATCCCTAACTAGGAATCCTGAGGTAAAGTGAAAAAGCGGAAATCTAAAGAACACACTATGTCTGGAAATGGAAGCAGATTTTTAAAGGATGAATGTTGACTGAAAAGAACTGGAAAGGATTGTTTGGGACAGAGTTGGATGGCGAATGCTGATGTGCGGTCTATGCTCTTCGACGAGGGGTGACATTCGGAAGTAAGTATGTAAACTATATTAGTTAACATAGGTGTCGTATAGTGATACAAGAAGTGGTAACAGTGGGGTTGGTAGAAACATATATATATATATATATATATATATATATATATATATATATATACTAACCGCATAAAGTATGGTAGGCATTTGGAACTTTGACGAGGCATGCAAACCAGTTCCGTAAAGATAAAAGAATAATAAACACAGAAAACTGCCATAAAATGTCCGTTTGGTATATACGTGAAGATGTTTCAAACGATTTGAATCGACTACACGAGTCAAAGAAACAGGTAAGTTTAGAGATGAATGATTATAACAGAAAAAGATGGAGCGTCACAATGAACCTGTTATAACATTGTAGATGGACCCAAAAATACATTCTTATTCTACTAAAGAGTTTAGGGGTTAGGAGCGCCCAATAATCGTTAGAAAGTCTTCATAATCCAGGAAAACACCACAACGACTGTGTTCAAAATGAGTCTGTTTCCTGCCTTTGTATTTCATCTTAGATTCATGAATTCTGGCTTACTAATGACCAATTCTATTACAGGATATATAAGGATAAATCAAATGGTTTGTAACTGTTATAATAACACGACTTGAATTCGTTTAACAAAAGAGATCTTGATCTTACAAAAAAAAAAATCAAAAATGTAGTATGACAATTCCATTAAGCATACCTAACAATTTCCTTAAACTAATTGTTACCTTAGAATGTAAAGCAAATACAATAGCCAAAATAATTTCATATTTTTTAAAATAGTTTATATGAATATTAACTCAAAATTTGAAAGAACAGTTTGGCACGTATTTAGTACCAAGGTAATAGTAAATTAAACATGTAATTGTTATATTGAAGATGATCTCAACGATTGAAGTTTAAATAAATTTTAGTAACAAATGAAATTTCAATTTCAGTCAGTGAGATTATTACAAACAAAAGTTTTACATTGAATACTTTCATGTGTTTATATTTATGAATTTAATCCTTCTGTAAGGGTATATATATATATATATATATATATATATATATATATAAATCTTTTTGATTGAAATCATGAATCGATCGATGTTAGACTACCATTGAAAACATGGAAATACTGAAAGGCTGTTTCGTCCTAGTTTGGGACTCCTCAACAGTGCTCATTAACGATCTCACACGACTCGTAGTTTCAAAATAATACTTCATATACTTTCAAATGTATGAATTTTTATCAGAAAATATATTTGTTCATTAATTAAGGATAGACGGCAGTTCATTTGTACAAAAAATAAGTCTATGAATTATAGATCATTCTAATCTATAGACTTTGAAGTTGATATTACTATATTTAATTTATTTTGATAAAAAAATATAAAAAATTGATTAAAAAAAACCCAATCAGAAATGATCATCTTCCTATTAGGTAGTTGATTTGTCGTTGAAATACTATAAATTCATACAGGATATTAAGTTAAGTATGGCTTATCAATTGTTTATCAACATTGAGTAAGTACTTTGAAACTATTCTAAGCTTGATAATTTACTTATCCCTCTAATTATGAATTATTATACATCAATTTTATGTACTGTAATTAGCTGTACTGTACTCAATATATACAATAGAAAAGATACTTAAATAGTTTTAAAAAACATAATTTTCGACCTTTACGTAGTCCTTTTTTCCATTTATACAATCCAACTAACAGTGTATAGGCATTCATGATGATGTCAGTTATAATTATGTCAATAAAATGTTATTTATGTGATATTATTTAACTCATTGAAAGTCTCTCCTATTGAGTTAAGAAAAATTGACACAAACGAAAAATGACTGATGACTGATGTTTTATAGCAATTTAGATAGTGTTCAGTAGTATGTTTTATATTTTTGAAAAGTAATGATTATTTGAATTTCATATTTGTTTTTAATAAAATTATATTAGGAATTCGGTTTACAATTATTTTACTTGAATATGAAATGATTTAGCTAATTGACCGGAATTTTAAAACTTTGATCATTCTGAACTAATCAGTGATAATAATACCCCATGACAGTATTACTTATCTTTGTCGGTGCCATACTCTAGGGCTAGCGATGGAAAAACTATTTGTGTTTTCTCATACTTCCTATATTAAATCTTGAAAACAATGGGAAACGCAAGATCACATATTGATTTAACAATAATGTGGTACGTACTAAAATTTTAAATAAATAAAGAATCTATCCGACGGAATACTTTGGTAGCCAGAAACAGCTTATCTATTGGTGAACTCTAAATATCCAGTATCTAATGATGAACACGTTTCAAAAATGCCAAAACATTTAGGTTTAATTTGCAATAAATTTATACACATATCCTAACCACCCTTTTTATTTATTTTCTTTAATGAATTATTACATTTGTCGTTAGATAGAAGGAAAAATGTCTGATGAAGAAATATTATTGAATTTGTTCACTAGACTAGATACAAGTGGTGATGGTGTGCTTTCATTAGAAGAACTAAGAAAAGGATTACTATCATCAGGAGCTACAGAGAACGTAGTAACAGTCAGTTTTTTTTATGTAAACAGTTATAATTATGCGATTATTTTTATGGCTATCATATTTGTGTTTAAATACCTTCATTGAACTTTCCAAATGATACCAAACAGAGAATAGTTAATTTATTTTAGCTACTGTGATGATAATATATGTAGTCCTTAGTTCAGTCCATTTAGACTTATTTAGCAAGCATTTATATTTTTTACAATTATTCATTGGTAAAAATCTTAACCCTTTTTAAAAACATTATTTGATAATTTGGTCTGATTGGCTTGGTAAGATATATGAAGTTATTAATATATTTATTATTACCTTAAGAAACTGATGCTTGATTATGGAGTAAAATTCGTTGTAACATTAAAATACTAATCAGAATAAAAGGATTTGTTTATCTTTAACATGAAAGATAGCCTCACATTTGTTCACAAACCATTATTGAATACTGATATATTCGAGCTGAGATTCAACGACGGTAGTTGCCAATTCTTATTCTACAACTGAAACGCACGTCACTCAGTGACACAAAGAGTTATTTTAATAGCAGATCCGTTTCTGTAGAATCAAGACTACTGAAAAGACCCTGTGGTGAATTATTATAATCCAAAATATTTGCACAACTATATCCATGTTGAAATGTTCATATTTGACAAGAGATTATCTTTATTGATTCACAGTCAATACATCTCTGTTACATGTTTAATGAGTTCAATCTTTTATCAAAATGTAAACATATATATCACTAACTGAATTCTTCAAACTATTTTACAGAAAATGATAGAAAAGCTCGATTCAAATTCTGATAGTATTATTACATATCAAGAATATATACAAGCTATAAACCGTGGAGTTAGATAAAATAGAATCCCTTTCTTAATACGTATGTTTGGAATACAACAACGTATTGTACTGTACAAGATATTTTATTTATTATTTCAAAATTATTAAATTGGTTATTGAAATATACCACTTTTTATTCAAATATAGTAGCTTAGTGTAAAAATGAAACAATTTAATGTATTTTTTTATATGCTTGAATAATATAAATAAATTGATTTTGTATTAAGTAGATTCATATATGTCTGGTTTTGTGAAATAAATAACATCTGTTGAATTCACTTAGTATTGCACAAGCAAGTGGCTATCAGGACTCAGTAATTAAGTGGATTACGCGATGACGTTTGAAGCGAAAGTTAGTGGGTTCGAGTCCCAGAGTGAACATCACCTCTTAGATGCAGGAACATCCAGCTGACGAGTCTCGAATAGAACGAAACGCGCTTCCTGGATTCCACTGCTAGCCACTATCCATCTTTGCTTAAAATGTCTGTTGAATTGTTTCTAGCTTTTCAAACAGCTATTCGAAGAATGTTATTTTTATAATGAATATTGACTTTTTAAATAGAATCATCCCTCCTTCGGTTTGGGCATCCGTCTAGTATCACAGCCCTCACACAAATCAAATGAGACTTGTGTGGCGCATATGTATCTGGTGCCCCTTTGTACCAATATTTATGTGTTTATATAAGTAAATAGAACCATTTAGTATTCAGGTAAATGAACTATAAATACGTTCAAACATTGGGAATACTAATAGGGTTAAACAATTTTTGAAGTAATGATCATGAAACCAACTGATAAAAAAATCTGTCAAAATATGAAATTTATCCTTGAAAGAATCATAAAGATGAATTTCGAAGTACTGGTACATAGTTTATAGTGTCATAATAACAAATACTATTTGCTAACGTATATAAGAGGTATTTTACTCTAAGCATTCATAAGTAAGATAAAAATTCACTTGTAAGAACCATAAAATCAGAGATGCTGATAAATTTATAAGGCCCACAAGGAAAGATAGCGTAACTTTAGAAAGATATGAATAAATTTATAGATTTCAAACTTGTGTAAATGAAAACATTCACTCCAGTAGATGAATGACTTTGTATAATAGAAATTACTAGTTTATTTATTCCTACATAACCTATGGATATTAGTATTTTAAAATGAATTCGCACATCTAATAAGGTAATTCGAGCTTATTTGTCATATATGGTCCAAAGCCATTGAAATACAATATTGACAGTCATTTATGTTCCCTGTCCCAGTATCACAGTATGGAGTAAGAAAGATATAGAGCTGTTCGATCTTCATCGTTTCTGACTATGATGGAGTAGAAAACGAGTTAAACAGAAAAATTCATAACCCCTTTCAAGAAATAAGGGTCTCAAATGTAGTAGTAGTCGTAACTGGAAATTCTAACATTGAAGTCGGTAAGCTAAATCAGAGTGAAAAACATATTGGTGGGTCTTATGGATTCCATGATTGTAATGGCTTAGCTTCGTTAGTCAGTCACCTTGATAACCATTATTACATAAATTCCAAAGGTGTTTGAAATCAGAAGGCAATAAGAAGCCGCGACTACAGTTTATTTGCGGATAGCACGGATCACAAAGCTACATGCACATCGAGCGAATGTGAAGCAGAGAGGCGAATATGTGTGTGAGCGAATACAGTGGTGAATTTATAATCAAATAGCATAAGAGCACGGCAAGGCAAAATAAAGGCTAATTGTTATATCAAGAGCTTTGATTCTTGCTATGCCGCGTACTACTAGATTACTTGAACGATCGAACTCGTAACATCGTAAGAGAGAAGACAGAAGACTATTAAGTAGGAATTTCATTCCCCAAAACAGTGTCAAAATATAGTACAGAAATCTCATATATTTATAGTTCTTGGCTGAGAGTAAATCATCATTTCAGACAACCAATAGGCACATAGGGTGTCATTCTTATCCATCCAATAGGGAAGCTAAACGTCGATATTTTAGAATGTTCCTTTAGTAGTGATTGGATGGAATGTCTTCGGCTCTTTTCGGGCTTCTTAAGGCTTCCTAGAGTTTACCAACGAGCCATCCTTACACCTTCCCTCTTTGAAGTCTGTGATGTATGAATTTCTTTTTGGATCTACTTGAAACATTATTGTAGCTCTCCTTTTTCTGTCCAGCACTCTTATCGGCTGTGCGATTTCCCTTTTACGTTTTCCAAGTCGTTGGTTCTGGCCTTCGTTCGTACTTTTCTGCGTTTTATCCACCGGCATCTGGAACGGTAGTTGTGTGTCTACTGTTGCTGTTCTGTGATCCTTTCTAATCTGATTAATATGTCTGATACACTTTCCGTCCCTTCTCCGTACCGGATACCGATACGCCGTTCTATGACACCTGGTTCCCATTTTCGACAGCCTTGACACCACTTTACCTTACTTTACTTGATACCACTTTACCTTTAAGCTGCGGGTGCTCGTCTGATACTCGTGTACAGGTTTTACTGTTTTCTTGGGTGGCGATATTCTGTCAAATATCGCTGGGTTCTTTGCTGCTTCTAGACATGATTCGCAGCTGTGGCACAATTGTTCTATATCTCGGTGCACAGAATGCCATTACGCGTAGTTTTGTGCTAGTGATTTCATTTTGCTCATTCACGGGTGCCCGATATGAAACTGTTTGAGTACTCGTCGTCGGAGAGTGCTGGGGATAACAGTGCGGTGGCCAAACATGATACAAGAATCGATAACTGTGAGAGATTCTCGTCGACGAAAGTACTGAAAAACCTCTCCTTGCAATCGTCCTGAAGGCCACTTATTGAGTAGAAAATAGAGGACAGTTTTCAAGGTATTATCTTTTTCGCTTGCTTCTTTAATATTTTCAAATGTAATCGGCAAGCCAGCGATTGCATCTATTAACACAGCCTGAACTTCAGCTTCTACTGCGGCAACCAGTACGTCTTCTTCACGTTTCTCCTGGCAACCAGGTCCCATCCGACTACACACATGATTATTTGGCTGGTTAGCCAACTGTAACATTTCTATGAAGTCAAGACCAAGCAAATCTAGTCCTGTACTTTCTGTGAGATATACTTTGGCATTCTTTTTTAACTGGACCTACCCTAGTAACACTGACATTTTATCCGGTGTGGTTTTCACAACGTTTCTGTGTAATTTATCATTATTTTTGTTTCTGCTTACCTTTTAATTTGCCTGGTTGGTCTTTATTTCTTCATAAATATTGTCTAAACAAGTATACATGTGATTCGATAGTTCGAAATGTATTTAGTATATACATCATATAATTATGATAACCTTCATATTCTCATTGCATTATCCGAAAATAGTGTAATTTTTTCTTTAATCAATGAGTTCAAATATAATACTCAAGAATTGAAGCAAAATACAAAACAGTGAAAGAATATTTCATAAAGTCAGAAAGTGGTGAGTACTAAGTAAGAGAACTGCAGTTAGAGAAAGATGATACCATGCAAATGTTCAAATTTGTGGTTTTGCATCGAATTTTCTTTAGAGTAGCTTCTGCATTCATTCGCGTTATATTCATATGGTCTTTTCTTTCGGAAATATTAAGAGATTTCCAGTGAGTACATTCTTTCTATTCTGATTGCGCATTCGGCGAATCATCGAAACTCAAAATATTTAATATTTTACATCAATTTTATAATTACTGTCAACCAAGTTGAATTATTCAGAAATTTTACAGCAGAACGTATTTTCAAACTTCTTAACTGATGAATCTTCTTACCGAGTCCTTGAATTGGTTTCTCAAGCTCTTCTTTAAATCACAGGCTAGATCTACACAACAACTAGAATACGAGAGTAAGGGCGCGAAATGTGGAGAAAACGCTTTACTCCAAGATTAGTTTATATGCAGAAAATCTAGGGTATTTATAGCATTTCGGATGGCCTCAGACTTCCGGAAAGTTCCGGAACGCTACAAAACATAGTAACAGGAAAGGCTATCATCTAATCAGAAATGTGACACGTGAATCCTTACTTACTTGATGTTTCTGGATGAAATGCTTCCTAGCTTTCTCAGGGCTTTTTTCGAGGAATATCCTGGATCTCCACAACATTAAATTAATATCGATTTTGGAAGATAACGAAGTGGTCATTAGAGCTAACTAGATTATCACTTAATAGCGTTGATGTAATGTAGGTATGGTGAGTAAACATCATGGTGATGTATTTTATGAGCACATGCTGTCACATTCAATACATTATCATCCCTTCATTAAGTAACACTTAATTAACACCACATTTTAGTAGCATATCTGATCAACAGTCAGAAAACCAATCCAATTACTAACAAAATTTATTATTCTAAGCTTCGTCAGTGTTTAACTCACGGATAGCCATAGAATATATAATTGTTCACCCTCTTTTCTTACTTCAGAAATATTTATATTTCTTTACAACCAATTTTGCTTATTCATTTTTATTACCATTACTGAGATGAAGAAGAAATTTATGATTGAGCTTTTCATTCTTTGACTCATTATCAAATGAAAAAAACATATATTTGAAAGTCAATTAGCTCGAACGCTGTTTCTGACTGTACGGACAGCCTTCAATAATAGATTAAATAATTTGAATCGAGTTTCATAACTCACTCATAAGCGTTTATTTATTGATGAAAGTTCTAAATATGGTAGATTCAATACTTAAAAATTGACTTTTTTACTCCTAAATGTTAATGTCACCAAACTCTCAATATGCATATTCGTGTAAAACTACGTTCTTGGTTCCTATTGATAGTTTTCTAAACAAACACTTTGTAAACACCGTTCTGTAAAGAAAACTTCTGTTTGTTTTACAAAAATCACTGAGTCAATCAGTCGTCAGATTGTACTTTTCTCTAGAATTAAACTACCGATCCTTAGTTCATTCGACCACATTCAAGATACAAATAATGTAAATAAAATGCGTTTGTTAACTTAGTGAATGGTTTAAGAGACACAAGAGTTAGAAGTATTTGCTTTAACAATTAAATTACTCTTAAAGTTCTCTTGAATACATAGATTTTCTTTCTCTTTTAAAAGATCTATATCTATATCAGATAGTATTTAAATCAGTGCAAGTAGACATGTTACTATGTATAGAGTTTCAACAAAATATGCTGTTCATTAGCAGTCATTATGACTAAGGATAAAAATTGTTATTAAGAATTATTTATCAATCTTAGCCAATGAATAGCTACATTTTCACATACTACAGTCATACATATAAATAATATAAAATTCTGATCCGGAAAGATACTATAACAGATCACAACGCCTCACCAGATAAAATAATTATGAGTTCGAGTCTCAGAGTGAACATTACTTCTGAGATGCAGGTACATCCAGTTGACGAGTCTCGAATAGGACGAAACACGCGTCCTGGATTCCACTACTAGTCACTATCCATCTTCGCTTATAATTATCAACTTCTGTTTTAATATATAAAACGAAGCATTAATTTTATACAAGAAATCAATATCTCCTCATATTTATAAATTTTTTTATTAAAAATAAGAAAAATGCATCATTTAGGCAAAGAAATAAAGGTCTAATTATGATGACTATCATTCTAAAGAATTTAACGTTTTCTTTATTTATATAAACGGAATACTGAAATCTTAAAAAAACTAAATAATTTGTTTCTATGAGCCTACTAAAATACTAACATATTTAACATAACGTTGAAATGGTGAAGATGATTTGCTACTCAGATAGATACTACTGCTGGTGTTGTGTTAAATAGTTGAATTGCCACGTCTTTAATGCCGTTATAGACAATAGTGTCAGAGTGATCTTCTTGCAGAAGTGATCTTTCCCGTTAGTTTGCAATTGTTAAGTCTATTCATTGTAATGGCCTTGTTTGTGATAAGTTGTCTCTTTAGCTTTTGTCGTCCTACTTAATAGTTTTGTCAGAAACTATTGTCAGGAATCTCTAAGCGAAAGTATGTTGCTTCCTAAAAACTTGCATTAAGATGCGTCTATATTCTTTATGTGTCTTATGTGCTACTAATTACGCAAACGAAGGATAATGTGTCCATGGTACATCTTACATACTTTGAGAACCTGAGGGTGTTGTTTCACCTATTCTTTAGTATATAACTAGATGATATGGCGTTTATAAAATATAAATATATAAATACTACGTAAACATTTCTGAATTTCATATAATAATAGGTGATGTGCGACTTGCATCTTATTCAACACTTAGTTTAATGAGTTGTTGAAAAGACTTATGTACTGGATCATATTTCATTTGTTGAAAAATCTCTTAGCTAGTATGAAGATGTTCTTTTCCGTACCGGGCAGACGAATGATAGATCTTCTGCCGTAATAAATAAGAGGAACGTCATACAATTCATGAAGAAAATAATTTAACGAATAACATTAAAAACATTTCTGTATATATCTATTGTTATTTGAGTGATACATGATATCAGTAAGACACAGTTCCATGTTTATTCATTATTGATTCCAACTGCTGTTTCATATTCCGAAAATGTAACCTTTCCATCACCGTTTAGATCCAAACGATCCATCAATTTCTACAAATAGCAAAATAAAGGTAAATTTGTATTGATAATGGTTATTATAGTATATTTCAATGTTTGCAACATTATACGTCGCTATAAAATAAAAATCTATCCTCAAATATGGTTTTTATAGTGGTCGAGTCATTGAAAACTAAGGGAATTGGATAGTTGTTTTGTCTTGGTCTTGGACTTTATCATTGTCTACTAATAAACCCACCGAAACTGAACAAAATGTGTAGCCGTAGAGTAGGAGGATTGAAGACAGTGCTATCGCATTGAATCACGAAGGAATTAGTTTTTAACTCATTGACAGTCGTATATAAACACTGGAAACGTTCTCGAAGCGTGAACAAAAGTTGAGCAATTAATCACCTTTATGAAGTAGCTTTACAGAAATCTGTGAAACATGCTTCCAAATTATGCTCCAATTCTTTCCCTCTGAACTCCGCCTGTAGCTCCTCCAGGGGCTACTGCCGGTCCCAAGCCCGGGTAAAGGAGGAGGGTTGGGCATGGGGTTCTGATTCTTGTTTGTTTTGATGAATCATAAAAGAATACTTCTGATTTCAAAAACCAGCTTACGTGTAGATCGAATGTACCACTAAATACACCGACCTACAAAGTTTAATACATAGATGCTACCCGACCATATCTTCTACCTTGTCGGAAAGGGTAGCACTTGCATACCATAATGATTCAGTTGTGGCATATTAGCTGAAACATTTGTTCATTGGGTTCTGTTATCCCGGGCAAGTTGTTTGGAGAACAGTAAAAAAAATGCAGCAACTAAAGTTCTGAGTGGAAAGTCGCACTTCTGGGATGTGATAGTGTTAGGGCGTTTCCCTCACATAACTGCTATCTGTAGAAATTTTGTCTTCTTGCAACTGGATTAAATGGTCAGAAAACGTCGAATTTGGAAACATCAAATATCACCATACTTTAAAGTATACTCATACCTCTATTACCCTTAGAGATCATCTGGTTCATAATCCAATCACCTCATCAGCTCTTAATATTTCTACTAGCCCTACTGTTACCATTTCTTGTATCACTATACGACACCTATGTTAACTAATATAGTTTACATGCTTACTTAAGCCCGTTACCCCTAGTGAAGGAGCAAAGGCCGCACACCAGCATTCTCCACCCACCATTGTCCCAAGCTATCCTTCCCAGTTCTTTCCACCTAACATTCATCCATTTCATATCTGCTTCTATTTACCGGCGTAATGTGTTTTTTGGCCTTCCACCTTTCCGATTCCTCTCATGATTCCAAGTTTGGGTTTGCTTCGTGACGTAGTTTGGTGATTTCCTCAATGTATGTCCTATTCAATTTCAACGTCTTTTCTTAATTTTCTCTTCAGATGGAAGCTGATTTATCCTCTCCCATAAAAGGCTATTGTGATGTTATCCGGTCAGTGAATGTTGAGGATATTGCGTAGACAACTATTTATAAATACATTTATAAGTACATTCTTCGCGATGGTTGTAGTAGTTCTCCACGTTTCAGCTCAGTACAGTAGAACTGACTGTCTCGACGTTCGTATTGAAGAATGTGACTTTGATATTTTCTGACAATTGTTTTGAGCTCAATGTGTTCTTCAATTGTAGGAATGTTGCCGTTGAATTGCCGATCTTTACATTTACATCTGCATCAGATTCTCTTTGTTCATCTATGATGCTACCCAGATACGTGAATGTTTCCACCTGTTATGGAGTTTCTCCACCAAGTGAGATTGTGTTGATGTCATCCGTGTTGTATTTGACGATCTTGATTTTCTCTTGTGTATATTGAGGCCTACTGATTCACAGTAAACCGCTACACTAGCATTCTCCATCTGGATTTGCAGATATGCATAGGATAAAATGGCTGAGTCATCTGCGAAGTTCAATTTTTTTAATTGCATCCAACCTGTTAATTTTATTCCGTGCTTTGACTGAGATATGGAGGTCTTCATAATCCAGTCAAACCAACAGAATGAAGAGAAAGGGTAGGAGACTATATGTAATCTTGTCTGACTCCGGTCCTCACTTGTAATGCCTCTGTCAGCTGTCCTTCATGCACTACTTTGCAGTGAAGTTCATCATGTGAATTGCGGATGATGTTGAATATTTTCTCAGTAACTTCATAGTGTCGAAGAAGTTTCTATAACGTTCACCTATCCACACTGTCTAATGCTTTCCTATAATCCAGGTAGTTGATGTATAATGACGAGTTTCATTCAATTGATTGTTCCATGATGATGCGTCGTGTTGCTATTTGGTCTGTGTATGACCGATCTTTACGGACTCCAGACTGTTGACCTGGATGTAGTGAGTTTACTAAATCTTTCATCCGGTTCAGCAACACTCTATCGAAAACCTTTCCTGGTACTGATGGTGGTGTGATGTCTCTGTAGTTCTCACCTAACTTGATGAGGTATCCTTATTTTCAGTCCATCGGCACTTGTTCGTCCTCTCACATCTTCCACAATAGTGTGTGAAGCATTTTTGCAGTTAATTCTATGTCTGGTTTGAGTGCTTCAGCTGGTATAAACTTGTTTGGTTTACCAAATAATATTCTGTGTCTGTTGAAATTGCATTCTAAACAAAATGTTGAAGGTCTTGAATTTTGAGTCTCGTATTGGACAACACGATAGAAATTCTCAGTCTCTTTCAAACATCTAAATGCTTAGATATGTTAGTATCTGGTTCTTTTTGTTCTAGTAACCAATCTCATCTTAAATGAAAGAGACTGACTGATGCTCAGACAGATTTCAGACATAAATCTAGGAACACATTTCGACGTCTGAGTGTAATTTTATTCCATGAACATACCGCATCAGTTGACTCTGATGATAGATAGATTCTGTGGTAATGTTTGTCATTAAAAGCCATACCAAACAAGTGCATCAACCTTGTACCCACTTTCTACTGGAGATCTACTGGTTAAGATAGAACTTGTGGTGAATTGTCGTCAAAACTTTTGACCATATGTGATGATCGACAACATTGTACATATAATGCATTTTTCTTCAGCTTCAAAATACAAATTCTCTCAAGGACCTTTCATATATTGATCATCTACTGGGAGATTCACATGTTGACTTAAGAGGCATAAATGGTGTAATCCTATTTGATGAACACTGAGAGGTAATGAGTCTTCCGATCACATTCAGCAACAATGAAACAAGGTTAGATGTGCCTTACTCTCCCTCTCAATGAAAAATATTACCTCAACGAACTAACTAGTGATAGGAAGTGAGGTAGTTGAGTGTGTCGACCACTTCACCTAACTTTGAAGTCTCATCAGTCATGACTGACTGGTGTCTCAGAAAACCATGTATTCAGAGATCAATGCTGGCTTTCGATATTTGCATCACTTAAGCTGCGGGTGAGCTGTCCATCTACCAACCGAGAAACGATATGTCTGTCTAATATTTCAGGCTTTTCTACTTGACGCGTGTAGAACGTGGTTGTCGTTAAGAGTTGATAATCATAGACTACTACTATTCTATAATCAGTTTCTTCAAAGAATCGATCACGTATTATGGAACCATCTGTTAAGCAATGTTGTAGTGTGGAATGATGTGCTGACTGAAGATATAGAATCGGTTGACGAAGTATTATATCTTGATTGGGTGTGTTAGTTTGGAAATATGTTGCATATACACAACCACTATGCACCTAGGTGAGTGATGCTGTCTGGTGTCGGACAAGCTTAGAAGATAGATAACCGGTTGGACAAATCAAGATATGACATGAATTCATGAAATGGTTGACTGTTGCACTGAGCCGCGTAAACAGATGTCGATAGCTTGATTTGATGTTCACATGATTCTCATAACCAATAGTTTGAGACAGTGTGTGAAATTAACAACAACCAGTAAACCAGTATTGTTGTAACCGTCACAGCTATGGTTTCAAATATACTTGCTTATATCCACAACATTCAGCGTTTCACTTGAATAATTATTTGTTATTCATTCTCTTTCTATGATAAACTAACAGACATGTCCTACACACGTGATAATTAAATGCTTTAATATGAGTTACTCACTGAATAGCTGTCGAGTGAATAATATTATAAATTCATTACTTATATTTACGTGAAATAGTGAATAAATAATTCTGTTGTATGATGCGACTTGTTTTCTCTGCAGCACTTATATAAACTTATAAATTATTTCTGATACTTGAAATTAACAAACATTCTTTGATAAACGAAGATTCTCAATGTAGATGAAACTGTTACTTACCTGTATAATAGTTGGGGAAACCCCAGCTTTACTTAATCCTGAGTATAATTCATCACATGAAATAATGCCATCCCCACTTTCATCTAATTTATGAAACAATCTGATCAACGCTTCTTTATTCGACATTGTATTTATTGATGATCTCTTTAGTTTGTATAAGTCTATAAAACCAGAAAGAATAAGAGAAATAGATATCACAAGTTTATTCAAACATACCATCGTATTCATCATGCTTGAAAAAATTACATGTTTGTTAGAAAAAAAACATTCAGATGTTCCAGTTAATTTGCTCTAAGAACTGACAACATCAGACAAGAATAACGATAGTTTGGCGAAGAAATATTTCTCTTGATTAAATTTATTTGCTTAAACTTTACAGTAGTATTGATATTTTATTACTTTATTAAATGTAATTGACTATAATGATATTGAAAAATCAACAGTTTAATCCTAGAATGTTATGGTATATTATCGGTTAATAAGCCCAATAGAAAATCTACGTTGGACTTTTCTCTCGGTCAAAAAGAAAACCAGCGAAAATGAGAGTATCAGTATGTTCGCATTATTAAGTTGATAATAGAATAGACATTTTGTCCTTCCACTCACTTTCAGAAACATGTCAAGTAGTAAAACAGGCCACATTACTTGAACACTGTGTTAATCTAGTGCCTGAAGCTAGTTAGCGAGATCATTAACGAACTTGAAAAAACTACTGTGTAATCATAAAATGTTCGAATTTTACTGACCAAACACTTTTTCGATGTTTGTGATTTCAAATAACCGAACACTAACTTTTTCTTTATTTGTCGTATTGTTTAAAAACATTAATGATAAATATTTCACTTTCCTCTAAACGTTATACCTTAGAAAATAACCCAAATATGTATGAAATATATTTTTTACTTTTAAATACACAATGCAGTTGCATAATGCTTTAAAATGAACTGCCTTGATTACTTGATTATATCTCCGCTTACTTATTGAAGACTTTTATTAGATCACTACATAAAGTATCATTTGCTAGCTTCCATATGTTACAATAAGATCTTAGACCACAAGAGTAAAACTTGACTCATCACTAGACACTGAATGTTGCAATCCAAACAAAACCACAATGTTAACCGTGAAGTATGCTTTGAGAAAATTTGTTTAAAAAAACCGATTACTAAAGCATCCACACCTTAATCATTCTTAATGTTGAAAACCTTTCACGGTAGATTGAAGGATAACTGCATTGTCAAACGCCAACAGTTAAGGCAGTATTTTATATAACCATGCCCTTTGATAAATTCAAAGTTATGAGAGCTAGTTAATACGTGCTTCATCGATAGTTATCAAATTTCATCTCAATTGTATTTATATTTTAATTTATTTTCCAATAACAGAGGTCTGTGACCAGATATTCCAGTTTTAAAATGGAAGTCTTGCTAAACAGCTTGTGATACTTCTATATTTTTCAGTAATTTTAATAGTTGAATTCATGAATCGATCTAAGCTAGACCACCATTGAAAACCTGGAAGTAGTAAACAGCCGTTTCGTTTTAGTATGGTACCGCTTGTCAGTGCGCTTTTCTTTCATGGATGAACCCAGGACTTTCGGTCTCGCGCTCGAACGCTTAAGGACTAGATCACCGAGCAGGCATCTAACGGTATTAATGTCCAACTTCCATCGATCCATGAATGGATGTGCATCCATTCATTTATTGTCTGAGGTAGATATTTGTCCCTACCAGACACGAATCGGACTCAACTGGTTAGGGCGTGTGGGATCGTGGGCTCGCACTGCTGAGGATTCCCATACCAGGACAAAACGGCCGTCCAGTGCTTCTAGTTTTTCCTTGGTGGTCAAGCTCACTTTGACTCATGCAATCAACTATTATATTTATTAGGTAATTATAGTGTTTGGTGTCTTTTATAAATTTTCGAAGTCCAATTCTTTGATAGTTAGCCATATCATACAAATATGTAAATATTATAATCTTTTAATGACTGTCAAATCACAAAAAAGTCATTCATCTACAGAGCTTGGCATTAATTTATATTTTTTGTATGTTTGTATTACATAATATTGGAATGAACATTTTTGTTATCATTTACTGATAGATATTGTTTATCTGTTAGTGAGTTATTTATTTGCAATTATCGTACATAAATATCTTTGGAAACTCAACACATAGATTCGTTCATTCAAAAGTAATGAATCATTATGTCAATTGATTTGTTTGTATAGCTTACAGCGGGATTACTATTTTTACTGCAATAACTCAGCTTATATACTACTTACATAAATTAGTAGTTTTTAAGGGAAAAACTATATATCGATATAATTGAATCTTTAAATATTTCATTAGCTAAAGGAGACAGTATCCTCTTAAAATTTATCACTTAAAAGTTAATTGAATTTTAAATCAATTATGTAAACGCCCTATAACTATTTATTCACCGATAAATTATTGGTTGATTGAATCACATATTATTTCATTATATCTAATAGTACATCTATTAGAACACATCAGAAACAGTCATATTGATTCGTAGTGTATAAAACATTATGTAATATTTAGTTTAAATGAAAACATAGAATATAGAATATTCTTATTTGGAAACAATAGTGTAAAAGTTGAATTATTAATAATATTTTTATACGAATATTCGTCAAGAGTGTAGAGAAGTCATTATATGTGAAAATTATATTTGAAATAATCTCAGTAATTGAAATTTAAATAATTCTAATGTTTTGTCCACTTAACTTGTCTGGACTTCTTCAGGGTAATAATCAAAATCAAACATGTGATATGTGACACTATAAGGTCGGCATTGGTGAGAGTTAAGGATAGGTAACCAAAGAAGAACAACAAAGTGTTGTCTATGAGATCAATTGTTGTGATTGTAATGCAGCTTACATTGGGGAAAAATCCAGACCATTGAATGTAAGGTCGAAGGAACACAAACAGTGTTTGCAAAATGTTCCCAAAAATTTGGTTGACATAAGGAAATTTGAAAATAAGTTTGCAATAGCGTTACATGAGTAGGAAACGGGACACAAGGTTAATTTTGAAGGGCCAAAATACTTCAGAAAGGTTTCAACACTAATAAAGAAAGGTTGACAACAGAAGCGCTGTATATATAGGCGAATAAGAACAGTCTAAACAGAAGGGATGGTATTCAGCTAGCAACCATTCGGCAAATATTCATCAACAAGTTATTGGACTCTTTGTTTATTCACATGAATCGGTATTTCGACTGAAATCAATATGAGTTATGTTTAGCATTACAATTATGTACTTGATGTTTCTCATTTTTAATTGCAACTCAATGATTCAGAAATAATTTTTCAACCTTCGATTTGCACTTTTATTTTTACTTCATATAGAAACATATCGAAACCGAATATCATTCATTAATAACTCATTCTTACACATACATGCACACACACAATTCAACCAGTCTTCTTTTATTTTGTTCCACATCGTGAACTTTTCACTTGATTCTTATTTAACTGAGTCATATTATCCTGTTTACAAAAATGCAACATCCAAATATGGTTGGTTTAACGTAGTAATGACATTGAACTATAATTGTCTATGTCATGAATTGCTTGAGATTACAAAATATGGGTTATTCGACTTCGGTTCAGTAACTAGCTATTAGTGTATTTACGATGTGATGTAGACATTTTGGTGTTAGAATTTCTGGATACTTCGACCATTCAGTGTTCTTTAGAAATTTTCAAGAGAATTCTGGGAAATGATAGATTATTCTTTCATTATCCTAATTGAACATTACCGAAATTTGTATAAATTTTAACATGATCCCACAAGTTTTTGCAACATCTAAGTCATTTATGGTCAGATAAATGTGATTTTTTTCTATGCCTAAACTAATGTTTTTGACAAAGCTTCTCACATACTTCCCTCATTCTATTTTCTATTTAGCACTGAGGAGTTTAACATTTCTGAGGACAAGGAAGAACAAAACGTATTACATGATTTCGACTGTGAGGGGGGGTTCTAGGTGTACCATGTATCTGGGATCTCGAACACAATGTAAAATACTGTCTTATAATTTCTGACTGTCAATAATTATCCAATTATAGTCAGTCCATTATGAAGGTAGTCTAGAATTAACTATTATTTCTAATTAATAACTGTTTATTAATAAGTTGGGGTCTTTATGGAAACTCTTCAGTTTTGCTTTAGCATATCCTCTTCGTTCTTCGAAGGTGCGTACTACTGAAAGTGTAGGTAAGTCAATAAATATAATTACCCATAACTAGAGTTACTCTTCAGCCTACGCTGAGCTCTTTGTTCAGGTATTTTGTTTTAAATAAAATAATTGACTCATAATAACCTTTGTATAAAAATTCAACATACAAATATGATTGGTTTAACATAGTGTAGATTTTGATATGATTGTTAAAAAAAATATCTTTGATGATTTTGATTCTTACCCTGAAGAAGTCCAGACAAATTAGCTGGACGAAACGTTGGAATTGTTTAAATTTCAATAACTGAGAATATTTGAAATATAATTTTTACATATATATTAGTCGTTTAAAAATCCCAATCATATTAAAAGACTAATACTACAGAGTATTAGTGGAAAGCCCTGACTAGCAGTGTTCATTTGTAATTCACCTTAGCCAATTAAGATGGTCGAACAATATAATTAATTAGTAATAATATTTATACTGTAGACGTTTATTTTTTTGTTAAGTGAAATAATGTGTGGTAAACACTGAAATAGTAGTGGAAATTTGTAGTTTATAATGAAAATGATAAATGTAAAACATTAATTGAGTCACATTTTTAAACCTTAATTGTGATTATTTGATCACTTAAATTAGTAACTCCATCAACACTTACTTTATATAGAAGTTATTGTTCATTTATTTACTTTATGACTAATAAATGTTAAGTTAGTTTTTTATCCAGTACTTATTTGTATTTAATTTATCATTGCAGTTGTTTTTTAGAGAATCAAATAAAAAATCGATCATAGCATGGTCACTATTGGATACTATAGAAGCTCTGAACAACTGTTCTGTCTTGATATAGGACTTGCCATTAGTAAGCATCTATTATCTCATAATCATGAATAGATCCCACACGTAACCTATAGAGAGCTAAGCTGGAACTCAATGGTGTACATGTCTAATCCCAACCATACCATTAAAAATTTACCAATCTATATAAAACTCCTATGCTAATAAGAATCTTATACTTTCTGATGTTTAACTTCTAGATACGATTCCAAGAGTATTAGTGGAAAGCCCTGACTAGCAGTGTTCATTTGTAATTCACCTTAGCCAATTAAGATGGTCGAACAATATAATTAATAGATTGAAGTTAGACATTTACACCAATGAATTCCTGCTCAATGATCTAGAGCTCAGGGATTCGAGCGTGAGACCGAATTTCCAAGGTTCAATCCTTGTTGTGGGTAATAAATGCTCACTATTGAGGAGTCCTATATCGGGACGGAATAAATCGCCAGAGCTTCAGTAGTTTTCAATTATGGTCTCACTAAGAGCAGTTCTTAATTAATTCTATGAAAGTTTTACTTAAAACGATTGGAGTACCTTTGGAATTTTATACTAAAAGGCAACATGGTATTTAAAAAAGAATTCAGTAGTATGGAAATGATCAAGAAGAATGATGTTACTTCAATATGATTCTTTTAAATATTAGATTGTTAAATGGAATCAGTAAACATCCGTTGTAACAAAGATTTTTAATACCTTAAGTAAATACTGAAAAACCTTGGAATTCATATGATCATTTAAAATTAATTACTATATATGTCGCGCCTCTTTGTCTAACACTGCTCGAGAAATTGCCATATTTATTTTATATTTGAAATGTAGATAGGGATAACAATTGAGCCATCATACCACCGTAAAGTTAACATTAATAGACTTATAGCAGAATAATATATCTCATAACCATTATAGTGAGCCATAGTTAACAGATCGATCAATACTAATCCGATTTCTTAGACTATTGTTATCAACTTTTAATTAGAAAACTACTAAACAAGAAGTAAAAGCTTGTAGAACGAAACCAGATGTAGTTTATTAAAAACTTTGGTGCACCACTAATGCATATTATAAGCCGAGTGCTTCGAAAGTTATATTTTATGTATAAACTTTCTCCGTTGTTCCTCAAGACAGCTTTTGATCATCATCCGAGGTAGACTATATGAGATCTGCTTTCAATTTCTGTTAGAGTTACATATTTTTAACTAAGTAAATTCCAGAAGCAATGAAGTAGTAATCAAGAGCCTCAAAATCGGTCAGCTGTTTGTTTATGAGGTATGCTGACCACTGGAGTGAAAAAGGTTGATGCTAGTAAAGCTTGTCGACAGATATTTTAACAGGGTAAACTTTAATCACCAACTTTACGAGAAAATATCTGATAAATCTTAGTACTGAACGATATTCTTTCAAATATATCTGAATCAGAGAACATCATCATCAAGTGTACAAACGTTCGACTCATTTTCTTTGAAACCATGATAAAAATTCAATTGATCCTACCAATCACATCAACTTATATTTATTTGAGTGTGACTATAAGCTAAACAGCTTTGATAATATGAGTTTGTTAGTAGTTATGGTAACTTATGCATAATTTAGTGTCATTAGCAACTTCATGCTTTATTGTGTAACCTAAGCAGAATGTCTTTGAATACTCTTGAGATATCAAGAACTATTCTTCAATGTTCCTCATAGCTAATATGTATATGATTTGCAAAAAAGATAAAACAGATTCCAATTTTTCACGCTTATTAACTGAAGAACAATACCATACTGGTGTCATTGTAGTTTAATAATGAGACATTAATATAGAGGTTAAAAAAGTTGCTATTATTTAAAGTAAGGAGATAAACTGTGAAACAATTGTGTTTCGTTGATTACTAGTTTAGTTAATGAACTAGTACTTTATTAAGTCATGTGCAAGATTATTAACAGTATCTCTCTTACATTTTATGAATAATCGGCTATCCTTGGCATTCAAAATGAGCTTTTGGTCTTATTTGGGACTGGTTAGCTGGATGTACGCGAATTTAGGAGTGAACATCAACTCCAAGATGCAGATACATGTACCTGATGATTCGCAAATAAGATGAAACGCGAGTTCTCGAATCCAATGCTAGTCACATTGTTTCTATTCTATGCTTGTCAGATAACAGCGTTACAGATATTCAGGTACATGATATATATTTGTGCAAAACACTGCTCCGACTGATTCATCCATTAATTAGTTCAGTGTAAAAAGTAAAAAACTAGCGGTGTTTGAAAAAAGGTCCACAATTACATGGTGGATCTCAGGTAGCAGTTTTTCATATGATCTGTATACTGTATTTGCTAATCTATATATGAATTAGCGAATTTCTAAGAGTTTAGAAATTTTCGACTGTTCAATATTCTAAAGTTTACTTTTAAGAAAGACCTGGAAATAAAACTGTCGCATCCATGAAATAAATCTTCTTATTGGCTGACTAATTCTTAAATAGTAGTTATACAAGCGTTCAAACAAAAAGATAGTATATAATCTCTTTTACAAAACATCGATTATAGGATTTTTTGACCCATATTGTTTAATAAAGTAGAATTCGATTGAAATCTCGTGAAATCACAATAATCGGTTCTTGAGTTATTAAGAATGAAAATGAGTCATTTTCAGTATTTTAATACAGTTTCAGATTAAACAAAACTTTGGATATATCTTAATTTTCTTGAAACCGGAAATCATTACTTCTGTACTTGTTAATTTCAACACGAATCTCTTTGAAAAAAGTATCCAGAAGATGGTTTAGTTGTTTGGATGATAAACCGGAACTGATAAGAATACTCTAGATCAATAAGGGGTTCTTACTATACACGAAGTACCCAAAATAGTATATATTTGGTTCAACGATACAACAGATATTGGTTAATCACGTTTAGTAAAATGATCACAAATTAGTTCAAGTATGTTTGGGAAGTCATTTACATAAAAGGAGATGACATAAGCACAGCTGAAACGTGAATCGAAATAAATATCTGACTAAATATATACAGGATGACAAGTTCAGAGATTCGAATTTAGTTAGTTGATTAAGCAGAAAGGACAGGAAAAAAGAATCTACTTTCAAATGATTGTTGTTACGATTTTACATATATACCATTCAGCTAGTTGATGCATATATATATTTTTAATCATAATGGTATTAACACATTTCCTCTAATGCCACCTTCTTGACTACATTAAATGATTCTCATCATTAGATATGCAATATTTCAGAAAATCTGCTGTTTCATAATTATTTTACTTATGAATTTTCGAAATGTACACAAATATTTTGAACGTTGTTCAATTATCATTCATTCATAACAGTTTATTATCAATTTTACTTCCACGACATCTTTTTCGTTGTCTAATACATTTTATACACTAATTCCATGGAAGTCGCTTGTTCTTTCTTCAATGGATACAGAAGGAAGAAAATATTCAAGCCTTCTTTATGGTACGCTGTATTTTCTCAGTTATTAAATTTGTCATAGGTTATAACATTTTACTAAATCTCATAAGTGTACAGGGCTAAAAGACGGTTAATTTAAACAAGCTAAAAAAAGCAGGAAAATTTACAACAGTAAATATATGTTCATAAAGTAGTAACCCAGAAGTCAGAGCATGTCATCGTGTCTTCTTATTTAAATACATGAAAGAGACTTATAAAAACTTGACAATCAGTCCAGTCTAACATTCATTTCCATTTAGTAATTCCTTAACTCCGCCTGTAGCTCCTTCGGTGGCTACTGCCGTTCCCAAGCCCAGGTAAAGGAGGAGGGTTCCTTGAGAAAGATTTTATGAACAACAACCAATTTTATCTAAGGGTAATCGGTACAAAGTTCAGTAGCCACTGATTAGAATAACTTAACCTTTCGACTTTACTGATCGTTTTTATATCTATGAACATTGTTATAATGAAAGGATATTAATTATTAAGAATTCATATTCTTTTATCAAAAACATATCAAAATATATAAGTAAATTTATCTACTTACTATTCTCTTCTTCTTAAATTGTACAGGATTCTAACTGAATGAAGTAATTCAATGAAATGAATTCTACGTAAATATCAAGCAGATTTATGAACACATTCAATAATTATCTACTGGATATTAGTTAATTCCAATGATGCGTTAAAACAAAAAAATCATATATTTATGATTACCAATAATATGCATTATTTACTAAATATTGATTAGTCGTTGTTTATAAAAGTTTCTTATAGGTTAATGTACTTAATTATTATAGTATGTTATATATCTTCAAACTTTCCGCTTATATATTTAATCATGTGATTAAGTTCCATTTCATTTCTATAAAAAATGAAACGATCTTTCATTCATTTTCATTATTAAAAAAAAAAAAGAAGACTCATAATTGATGGAAAAAGTGCATATAAAGTACAATCATTGAAAACACAATTATTGATTATTGGACTAAAAATGATACAATTTTTTTTATATTTTTTTTTCAAAAACAAACAAAACAATTACAACACCAAAGATACAACATAAAAACCTTTAATATGATTGGATAATAATTTTTTTTTTAAAAATAAGAAATACATAAATATATAAAATGTGAAAATAATTATATTCATAAATTAGATGAAACAAATGAATAGAATTCTTCAAAATTAAGTTTTCCATTACCATCTATATCATTTTCACGTATCCATTCCTCTAATACTGTACGTGATACAGTCATACCAGTTTCATCAAATAATGATTTTAATTCATTCACATCAATTTCACCACTTCGATCATGATCTATTTGAATGAATAAACGTCTCCATCTGAAATTAGATAGAAAAAAAAAATTTAATCATATACATTTTGAAATTATGAAAAATTATTCATAAGGTGTTTTTTTGGTTTTAAGTAGTTTATATTTATTTTTCAACTTTCTCGAAATGTTGGTCATATTTGGAATTTTTTAGTGTCATTCTCTATCTGAGCTATATGGCTTATAGTGAAAACTCCCATTTTGACATTTGATAAATAAAAAAGGAACGAATCGGGCGAAGAAATTTCTTTTCAATTAGTTATTCATTATGGCTCTGCACTAATATATATATATATAATTCACAATAAAGGAATAACACTTATGGAGTAGATACGTTAAGTAATAATTATATAATGGCATATCGATTATTAGTTGGAAGAAAAAGGATTAATACTAATCGAAGTTATTATTCGAAAATCAAGCTGTTGTTACGTTGCATAAAATGTAGAAGGAGAAGAAAGAACTAACAAAATATTTTGATGAATAGTCAGTAATAAAGTAGCTATGTGAGAATCAAGAGACGAATGTAGAGAATAAGTAAAATACAAAAATAGAAGGAAGTTTACCAAGGTTCTGCGACAAACTCCGCTATACCGATGGCCAAGGTAGCGAGAGTGGTTGTGCAAACTTCTTTTGGATACAAAGGTTCGGTTTGTGAATATAGATTTGCGTTGGCTTCAACTATGTGCAAAAGACAAGCCCGTAAACCATGCTGCAAATTTGATGGAATATGGTAGATAACCTTAAGAGCTTTATTCAGTTCAACTTGATGACTTGTGTCCACCAAGTGAGCGAGAATGGAACTCTTAATCACATTTACGTGTCCTTTGCTTAACCACGACGGATGATGTTCTGTTATTCGTTGACGAACTTGCCGAATTCTACGCCCTTTATAACTGACTCCACAGGAGCAGTTGAATTAGTTAATGCACATAGATGTGGCGAATTCAGGCAACCTGTCATTATGAACCGTTCTCATTGTGGGGCGGTTGTAGAAGACGATACTCAGTCTGGCTGCATAAAATGTTTTCTGTAATTCCTCTCCTATTGCGTAACGTATCCACTCGAAGAGTGTTATTTCGTTATTGTAAATAATTTATATGCCAGTGTAGAGCCATGATGAAAAACGAATTGAAAATAAATTTATGCGTTCGATTCTTTCCATTTTTATATGGTTTATGTTCAGTTTTCTACTAGAATAAACATCATTGTTTTTTACTCACACTTGATCTTGTTACGTTTTTTCGTTAGTTCTGTGTTCTAGTCTTGGTTTAAAGTTCTCGTTATTTATACTTCATTTATGTAGAATGATGTTTGTATTTATCGAAATTTTCTCCCAAAAAAGTGTTAATGCGCTTCATCGAGTTAAAAGCTATCAAATTACCAGGCAAGGGTTTACTAGATAATTATGGAAAGTTACCTTGAAGTTGAATAAACAATTATTGAGTTGTTTGAACAAAGGAATAACACAAGATGATATTTTTTTTCACAGCAACACTGATAAAAAATCATTTAGAAAACTAGCGTTCAATGTAAAATGATGAACTATATAGGTACTTAGACTGTGATCTTTTTTCTTATCTCACCATTCATTTTCGATCAGAGAGATATGATTTCAGTAATTCTTTCTGACCCAGTTTTTATAATGATCATCATGTAAGAATTGTTGGAACATGTGATATGAACGCTACATCTTATTACCAGTGTAGTCCAACCATGTTGGTTGTGAGACAGTAACTCACTGAAGACAATGGTGGATGGTGGCGCAGTTTCATGGACTGGTTGAAGCAATACATTAACACCGTTGGATGCCGGCTCAATAGTCTGGAGTTTAAGCGTTCGTGCACGACCGAAGGTCATGATCATGAATGCGCACTGTGAGGAGTTCCACAATAAGACGAAACGTCCGTCCAATGCTTCCAGGTTTTCATTGGTCGTCTGGCTTAGATGGACTCATGAATTCAACTATTAAAATTACCATAATCTCCACAAAACTCCTTTCTGATAGTTAATAAATCACTTTAAATTATATCGGTTTTCACGGTTTGATATTTAAACTGGAATGTTTTTGAAATCAAACTTCCAGAAGTCTTTCACTGATGAGTTCATTTGAAAACTATTGAAATGAATAATAATATTAATATATCCAAATATTTTTATACATTATTATCAAGTAAAATATAAACGTAAGAAATTTAGATATTAGAAAAGAAAAAGCAAAATCATCAGTAAGAAGTTGAAGTGGATTATCATTAGAACACATAAATAAGAAGTTCGATCAGAAAATCGTATAATTTAATTTGAAATAACTGATATTTATCTAAGCATATTATTCTATTTTAATAGTTGAGATCATAAGTCAATTGAAGCTAGACCACCATGGAAATCCTGGAAGCACTGAACTGCCATTTCGTCCTATTGTAGGACTCCTCAGCAGTGCTCATCCACTCTCCCGCCACGGGAGATTCGAACCCAAGACCTATCAGTCTCGCGCGCGAGAGTTCAACCTTTAGACCTCTGAGCCGGCATCTAATGGTATTTAGTCCCACAATATTCACAAAAACCCCTTCTGATATATTAATATATATTAACAATAATTTGTTCAACATTAGATGTTTAATTAACTTTATGTCTTGGTTAAAAAATAAAAGTCATTTTTAAATTCACTTATTATTGTTTGTTTGAATCTTCCCATCGATGTGTTAGGACTGCAACTGGTCAGTCTTTAATTGGCATATGTGCATACTGTGCGTATTACCTCTATATAGCCTTGATTCACAAGCATGATAAGAAAAGGTGGATAGTGGCTAGCAGTGGAATTCAGGATGCGCGTTTCGTCCTATTTGGGACTCTTCAGCAGGATGTACCTGCATCTCAGAGTTGATGCTCACTCTGGGACTCGGACCCAGTACCCTCGCTTCAAACGCCATCGCGTTATCCAAATAGTACGAAACGCGCGTCCTAGATTCCATTGCTAGCCACTATCCATCTTTGCTTAAAAGTCATTTTTATTTTCAATTTTCTTTAATTACAATGTTTAATAAGTCTTATGGAAGTTATTCTTTGAATATATTAATTTATTCAATGTATTCAATGAATTTTCTAATTGATTTCTTTTATGTAAATATTACATTTCATATTAATTTTTTTATAAACTTTTTGTACAATTTTAAAAGTAATTTCACTTCATTTGTGTTATATCGATTGCTCGCGTACGTACCCTGTTTAATATGAAGTGCTAAGACCGCCTATCAGAGAGCAGTGAGTAATGATACACGAAAACCGTATAACAAGTCCTAAGTACTTAACAGTCCTGCTTTCTGCCTAGCCCAGCCAGTTAAGTCCAGAACATCAATAACAGCCTCCGCAATATGAATCACTATTCACAAACATACTGGGTTTATATACCAAACAAACTGACCACATCGTACCACAAAATACAAAAATAATATTTGTACAAGATTTAGCCAAATGTGGCTGTGAATAGGGGGAACAGTAATTAATAGACTGTGTATAACTCAGGAATGGTGAATCATACAGCAATAATCTATGGGTCAAAATAAAGCTCATAACCAAAGACATCGTTCTCGATCTACTGAACGTGAAGATCGTTCCTCATCAAATCCTTATCGGTCACGAATCATTAATAATTCTCTTTCTAACAATTTGTTAGAAATTTATGAGTTTACAAATAAATATTTAAAAAAAGAAGACTTACTCGGCTGCAGGTTCTTTATTCAATCCTAAAGCTGTTCTAAATTCATCAAGAGTAATATAACCATCTCGATTTAGATCTAGTTGATTCATTACTTGCTATTCAAAAATGATCGGATAAATTAAATAAATAATTATAAATAAATAAATTGCATTATTGATGATAAAATATAGATTTAATATGTTATTGAAACATTTGCTATTTAGAGTTTCAGCAGTACTTTGATATTAAAATGTTTTGTAATTTCATTAATTACAAAAGAAATATTTATATTCACACACAAAATGCAATTCGTATTTGTTACATTATACATCATCTAGTCGGATTAATGACGTATAATAACAAAGACAGATGGTGGTTAGCAATGGAATCCAGGTAGCATATTTCGTCCTATTTGAGACATGCATACCAGAGTTGATGTTCACTCCGGGACTGATCACTAGCTATCGGTGGGAATATTCTAACAACCAATAAAAAGCGAACTTAACACCTCATTGTAAAAGTTAGTAGCTATCAGGACTCAATAGCTAAGTTGATAACGCTATGGCATTTCAAGCGAATGGTACTGAGTTCGAGTCCTAGAGCGACCATCAACTCTGAGATGCAGGTACATCCAGTTAACGAGTCTCAAACCTGACGAAACGCGCGTCCTGGATCCCACTGCGAGTCACTATCCAACTCTACTTATAATACTTGTGACTGAATGCAATATAGAGGCAATCCGCACAGGATGCACATATGCCAATAAGAAACTAATCCAATTTCGGTCCTAATCATCAATGGGAAGATTCAAGTAAACAATACCAAGTGGATGTATAATGACAGTTGATCTAACGAAACTTTGTCTTTTCATAAAGGATATACTCTATCATTCCTTTTGCGAAAAAAATGAAATTATGTTTATTCACTAAAAGTGTATATAATCACAGACATTTGTCTTATTTTTTAATATTTATCATAGTTGAAAGCGTGAGTCAATTGAAGCTAGACCACCATGGAAAACCTGGAAACACTGTTGTTTGTTTTGTAAAAAACAGATTTGTAAGTTATTATCAAGTGTGATGATGGATAACAAGTCATGCAGAGAATTTGTAATTGATATAAACTTGTAACTTGATCTTCATAGTTGTTTCTTACTGTTTTTATTAGTATGGTTTAATTCAACTTGAAAAGAAAAAAGATTCACTTTATGCTACTCAGTGACATGTTTAGTCACTTCTGAAAACTGTATAATTTTTTCAAAATAACTGTTCTTCAAGTTTAATTTGAAAAAGTAAAAAATGGATTTTATCATTCTACTGTATCAGTTGACTTCAATTACGTAAAGAATAATAGTTGTATCCTTTATATGATTCAATGAGATAATATGACTGCTTCCGTTTATAGGATATATGAACATTGGACATATATGTTTATTCTAACTTACTTCGATTTTCGCCATAGAAATCCCGGCTTTCACTAAACATGTAGTTAATTCCTGTCGACTGACAACACCGTCTCCATTATTATCAAGCTCATTGAAAACCTCCATTAATTCTTCAGAATTCAAACATCGAGGCATTACTTATACGATATATGATAGGTGGCTAGATGTTTTCTGGGAAAAATAAGTAAGAACACATTAATGAAATAATATTTGACAGTGAACAAACAAAAGTAATGGTGTCAACGGTTTTAACAACATCCCCCAAGTAACATTAATTCACTTAAACACTGTTATGTATGCTCAGATATCTGTTTAATAATAAACATATTAACAACTTTAAAAAACTGAATATCTGTTAATGATGTTAGGTTAAACCACAAAATTTTCAGCCATTCAACACCATTTTAATGATAAGGTTTGAGTTTTAGTTTAAGCGAATCTTAAATGTATTTCAATGATTTGGCGAAATGTAGGATACATTGACTCTCTTCGTTCAAAGTCATGATGACAAGATGATAGAAAATAAATACCTTTATTGGTTTGTGACTATTTTGATATTTGGGATGATTAGAGCATAGGAGGTAAACTAAAACCGTTTACTCACTTTTCCCATATAGTACGTTCATCAACAAATTAAATGAATAAAGTTCTCATGACCATAAAATATGAAAGCCTACTAGGATCAGCTCACTAAAGTCACGAATTATGAATAACCATTTAATAGTTTAAAGAATCTATTTGGATGAAAATCTTATGACAATATTCAAGTCATGAAAATGACATGTTGCTTACATACACTGACAAAAATGTAGATCAGTTAATCATCAACTTACCAAGAAATCGTACAAAATAACTGATTTTCAAAACTTTTTCGATCAAAATATATCGCTTTTTATCAATATGAATTACTGAAATTAAAGTCTCAGATTTCTATTTTAGAAGTAAGCACAGTTATTTGTCAAGTAAGCTGTATAATAAACCGCCAATCATGTGATTCTTAGGATAACCTTGAAGTGTTAAAATCTCAAATGAGTGGTTAAAGCTCAATGGCCTTAGCATACAAGCAATCTTTAATTTTAGTCATCATAACAGTAAAAATTTGTTTATTTAATTGCGTAGGTGGGTATCTTCAACTTTATTATTCTGCAGACATTCAAAGTACTTTTCTTGAAATGATTTTCAAATAACAGCTTAAACAAATATCTAAGTCCAACCAATAGACTATGAGTAGCTAATAGACATTTCTTAAAGCTTACAGTTATAAGCTAGACTAATACTCTTAATATATAGACGTATATGGTTAATAAAAATTACCTCGAAAACATGACGATGACTGTAGTCTATTATGCTCTCATTATTATATGTTGATATGTACACATATTTGATCAATAATAAGGAAAAAGTCACATTCATGAAATTACCGTAAAATCTCTTGCTACATGTTATACTGAGCATAGTTGATAATAATCCAATAAAAGAATATCATATATTGAATAAGTATCATACCGAAGTAAATCAGTGTTATACTGAATAACACAGCACAATGAAAATGAAACGAATAATAAACTGAATAACTATCACACTAAGTAAAAATGAAAATAATATTGAGTAAGAACCACAATGAGTTAGAAATGTAATTTTGCATTTTTCATCTTGTCATATCAGATTATTAATAATAAATCAGTATTTTCATTTGGATATTTTAAGTCATCGGTACTAATTAATTGATTAAAGTCGACACTTACTGAATAATACGTTGAAAAAGGTAGAAGGAAAGTGTAGAACAAGTTAGATAGCAGACGTTCGTTACAGAAGATGTGAGGAGATAAACGATTTCGCATTTCAATCACTTATATAAATTAGGATTCATGATGCTCAACTTCATTACCTAACAGTTTTCACATTTCCGGTTAGCAGATAATTTTGTGGTTTATACATTTCGACCATATTGTAAATGAGTATAAATTAACCTATAGGTACTTGACCTAAACAAAGGTTCGAAATTTGTAAATAAATTTAAGGATATTCAGTATATGTTTCTTAAGGTATGGCAGAAACTATAACACGTCTAACTATTAAATGTTATATGAATTTTGCATGTGATATAAGTTACCTTACTGGCTAGCTTATATTACACTCCTTATCGCAAAAATGAGTCTGTCACTCATAACATATTATTGTCAATCATATGGTATTTCAAGTTTGACAGGTAAAGCAAATTAACAATATCCATCAATAGAAATTACTGTTAAATTAGTACTGTTAAATCTTACTTTTTAGATTAGACACTTGAAAGAAGATTTAATTTTACTCAGACTTAAATTATGTAAATTATGCATATATACTTGGAATGAACAATGATAATCATTTCTTTAAATAAATCCATCGAAATAAATTGACTTGAGTCGTGATTATATATATCTAATATCAAAAGAGTAATGCTAGAGATTGACACTTTCAATGAACAAATCGTTTGCTTATACGAAATGATTAAAGATACAAGCATACTTAGACATCATTCCACACATTAACCATTGTTAGTCACTGAATATACTATAATCAATATAATTTAGTTGACGGAAAATAGAAAATTGCTTCCGAGTTATTAAAGAAGTCATAGTACTTAAATTTCTTAGCGGCCTTATCACATGCTCAAATGTTTTCAGTGACTTTTGAGTACAAACAGCACTACCTATTGAAGTAATCTATATTTTCATTTTTTAAGTATATGTAACACGTGTATCACACAGTAGTTACTTTCAGACTAGAGCTGACTTCCGACAGAAGACGTTTTCATAGACAAATACTGCTTCGAGGCGAACATTCCCCAGCAAACGTTTTTATCAGTTTATAACTCTGTATTCCTTTTTAAACGAACTAATACAATGAGACAATAAATTGTGTAAATATAGAAACTTTTCAAAAGTGCTGTCGATTGGTTATGAAATATTGATACTGATAGTATGTTTAACACACATAAATCAATCAAGTTTTTTATTATTAATAAATCAATTTTATTTCTATAAATTATAACATGTCATCACAAATAAAAACATTTAACCATTTCAAACATTATAGTTTATCAAAAAAAGTGTTACATTCTCACCATTTGATTGGTTGTTCAGATTACAAACATCGCACTTTTAAAAATTGCCAACTTCATAAATTGACTTTTTAAACAAACGAGAATAAAAAAATAATAGAGTAAATTGTTTCTTTTCACCTATATAGTAACCTTCTGGCTTGAGCTAGAATATGTTTTTTTAAAAATATTATCATATACCTTTAAGTAGATCCTAGAAAAAAGACAAACAGTTTGAATATATGGCCATGAAACTAAACACAATGGATAGAAGAGCGTTAATCGAAAAATTCTATCAAATGGATAAAAATTGTGATGGCATTTTAACGCCGTCTGAAATTCGAATTTGTGTTCAACGATCAGGTCTACCAGAATCAAAAGTCGATGTAAGTTTTTATTTGAATTAATCAATACTAACTGTAGCCTAATGATTATTTTGAAATAATTAACTCATCATTTATTCATAATTTCTATTATGACTAGAATTGATTCTGTAACTAAACAGATCTGTCTGATAGTCACTTATTTGCATTTGAATATGAAATTTATTACCGGTGGCAATTTTCTTACTTTTAGCTCATGTGAACTATGTAACTCATTATTATTTTAAAGACGTTTCAGTTTACTTGTAGAGTCATTTTCTATATGTTGGTTATTTCATTCTTCTGTTCCTAAGGTATAGTTTCATATTCATCAGAACTTTCTCTTATCTGTCAGATTCTATGAATAAAAGAGGGTTATAACATGAATAATCAAATTAACACCTCGAAAAGGCATACCGATGAAAAGCATTTAAAACCAGAGAGAGAAGTAACAAAGGATAAAAAAAAAGGTTTATGACCAAATTTATAATATTTAAAACAAATATAATGAGTTTCCATTTGATAGTGATCGGAAGTAATATTAATAATTCTTGGGGAAAATTGGAAATTAAGAATATATACATAACATGGTGATGAGTGAAAATCAATGTACACATTGAGAATAAATGTATTTGTACAGCTACACTGATTTGGATTAACTAGGTCAAACTATCTTAATAATTAGCCATCGTTATTAATCTAATCTAATAGTAGAATTTACGAGTCGATGTAAGCCAGTCCACCATAGAAAACGTGGAAGCACTGGACGGCCATTTCTTCGTAGTATGGGACTCCTCGGTAGTGCGCATCCATGATCCCGCACGTCCGTCCAGTGCTTTCAGGATTTCAATGGTGGTCTACAATCGCCACAAATACCAATTCTGATATTAATGTAATTACCGTATCAAATTAATCAATATACTACAATCACAAACCGAACTAGTAAACGTTTACTATATTTATTTAAAACTATATGTTTTAAACAGTTTGGTATGAACATTTGCTTAATTATTTTATGTAATTTTTATATAGCTATGCATGAATCCAGACACTATTCTTCAAACTACCTCCTAACGTACGTATGTTGATTCTATAATATGAATGATAAGAAGCTCTAACTTCACATTATTATATGATTTTAGCCTCTGAAAGATGTACTGGAAATTTTGATTATGCTTAACATTTCAAACTGTTGTACTTTCAACAATATTGTAATAGATAGCAATGAAAGCTTCTTTTAAGATTGTGTGAGTAAATAGCGATATATAATCGTTCGAAATACTACCTCTAGTATATTCCTTTAATGAACTGCGAAAATCATATTTACAAAAATCAGCTATTGCATTTTTAGAAAATGAAGAATGAACTTCTAAGAAATTAAAAACGTATAAGTATCAGTAGACAAAAGTTAATTGGACTAATGGTTTCCTTAAAAAACCTTCATGATTCAGGTATATCTTTTGTCGAATGGTAGATAATCGTTGATCTGTATGATATGACATCGAAAATACTTACACGTCCAATATCGTGGATTGGTTGAAGACAGATATTAGCACCGTTGGATGCCGGCTCAGTTATCTGAAGGTTTAGTATTCGCGAGAGAGAGAAGATCCAAGGTTCGAGTCCTACCTGCGAGATTTTGGTAGTCCCATACTGGAATGAAACAGCCATCCAATGCTTCCAGGTTTTCTATGGTAGTCTAATATTGATCGGTTCATGATCTTCATAAAAACTTAGCAATCTCCACAACCATTTACTATTAAGAATACATTATGTTTGGAGTTAGGTAAATTTTAAAAAATGAACGAAGAATACTTCGATAAACTTTAGAGATTAGTAAATACAACTAAATAAAAACAGTAAACTGAATCATTGAGTATATCTGACTTAGTTTATGTAAAATCTTTTAAAGATGAAATAAACACAAGGGAGAAATCTTCTTTTTGGACGACATCATTTATTGATACTGTACGATATTATTTTACAATGGTTCATTAAATGTATTTACCAATCGGAAAAAAAATAGAAGGATTACATAATAAAATGTTTAAAAAATTTTAAGTATCATTATAAAGTCGTATATTGATATGAAGGTTAAAGAAAAGTAGTTAGAAGACAATAATTTACAGATCAGAATGTGACTACTTTCAATGTGATATATAAAAAGAAAAGCCTGAACTTAACATTATTAGTTGATTAATAATAATGAAAAATTATCGGAGAATAATAATAACAAGTAATTGATTAAAAAAATAGTTTGAAAAGTATTTTAAAATCATGGCTGAACGATCTATTTTATGTGTTGTCTTTCAATGCATAGTTTATGTTTAACCTGATGAATTATTAAAACGTATTCAATGTACAAGTTTTTGAAGTGCGTAACTTTTGAGCCAATTTATTTGACAGTATACGTTATTTTGAAGGATGGTTGTGGTACTATTATTACATTTCCACTATTTTGAGTTAGACATGAAATCTAATGATTAATTATTAGATGTCTGTAAGATCTCTATAAAAAAAATTATACTTTGATAGTAAGTGATTATCATGTTTTGGATGGTGGAGGAAATATTCTTCTGCCATCAGTAACTGTCCCATTCCCTAAGTTGGTCGAATGTCAGTTTTGTAGCTGTTTTAAATACCGGTTTTCATAATTATAACACATTTCTCATAAGCGATACTCCTAATGGACCTTTTTGAATGAGTTTTGGCTTTGAAACCTCTTTTGATAGACTTAAAGAAAACTACAAAACATTGAAATGTAGGATTACAAATTATTAATAAAGTGAAAAAATGAAAGAATTCGTGATACATCAAAAAACATACTAACACCTTGTTGAATGAACGATAGAAAGTTAGTACTTTTTTGATACATATGAATGAGATCGGTTTTTTATGTTAAAACCTGTTTGATTTCTTAGTAGTCATCTGTTCTAAGTTCTTAGTTATGATGAAATTCTGTAACATTTGCAACATAAGAACTAATCTAAATGATTTAAGATCGCGTGCAGTATCGCGTGAATGGTTGGATGTAGTTGGAAGTAGACTCGGAACTTACATTTGAATCTATATGGCATTTATCAGCAAGATGTACCCATTATTTTGAAGGAACTGATGAACTATTCAGACTGTTACTATCCTCAAGTACTCCGAGGAGCATCAGTTCCCTTAAGAGCACAGATGTATCCTGTTGATGTAAACCAACTAACAAAAAACTTAGATACAGGGTTTTCTTTTGTTTATATGCAACTATCTTACATTTCTGTCGTTGTTATTCCAGCGAAATTAAAACCTGTAATTATGTTATTAGGATCATCATTTATCATATAACTAATGTTTTCCTCTTAAATGTTTTTTTTTACCGTAAATCAAATCCTTCTTTCAAAAAATTGTGTTTACATATAAAGGATTCACAAGTTAAGCTATGAACTCATCTAATAGTCAAGGTGACAAATTTTCGTTTGCTTTTAAAACCTTTTTTTTACGTTTTTTTTCCAAGGTATCTGTATGCTATGTTCATGAAAATGTATTGAATACCTGATATTTTATAGTTAAGTATAAAATTCAATTAAAGTCGTAAAATATAATCACAAAAGAGTAAATTTCATTTCACTTTTAAATTAAGCATCTTCATCATTATTTTTTTTTATTCCTTTTTCTATGAAGGAGTTTCTACGTTTATTTGATCTAAGCGGTGACAATATGATTACACTTCAAGAATATATTAATGCGCTTGGTTTACAACCTCCACCGCCAAAAGAGTAAGTTTGTTTTATACATATTAAATGGTAAACATTTAAAAAAAAGAAAGAAACAGAATTACAATCATATTCCTTCTCTCTTGATTCAACACTGTGGTCATTTGGTTTTAGAAAAAATATATGTTATGCAGATTGTACACAATTAATTTTGTAACCATAGTTTTTTACATTTTAGTGTATTTAATTCTATTTAGCCTATTGTTGACAAGAAATTTATGTAAATCTTATCTATATGTGAAGTATATAAAGACTTTGTTTTCATTGAAATTTTCATTTAAATAATCCATTTATTAGTTAAATATTTGTTAGTATTACATTATACTACTTTTTTCCAACAACCTACTATCCATTGAAACAACTAAACACTGAAATTGAGTTGGTTGTTTTTTATCAGGGTTAAATGTTAATGAATAGTAGGTTTTATAATTAAAAAGAAAATCAATACTATATTTAATGATGATGAGTTAACCTAACAATATAATAATCATATAGAGTTGAGATCATGAGTCCATTGAAGCGAGACCACAATGGAAAACCTGGAAGCACTGGAAGGCCGTTTCGTCCTATCATGGGGCTTCTCAGCAGTGCGCATCCACGATCCCACCTCGCAAGATTCGAATCCAGGACCTACCAGTCCCATAATAGAACGAAACGGCCATCCAGTGCTTCCAGGTTCTCCATGGTGGTCTAGCTTCAATTGACTTATTATCTCAACTCTATAAAATCACTAAAATCTTCACAAAACCCCTTCTTATAATATAATAATCAGTTAGTAGCATAATGTTTGTAAAATTAAAATTAAAACTAATGTGAAAAATTCTAATTATTTGATTTTCAAGATAAGTTAAAGGGGATTCATTTTGTATAGTTCGTTTGAATCTTCCCATTGATGTTTAAGACTGCAACTGACTAGTAGCTTATCGACATATGTGCATCCTATGAGGATTACCTTGATATTGTCTTCAGTGACAAGCATTATAAGTAAAGATAGATGGTGGCCAGCAGTGAGTCCAGGACGTGCGTTCTTTCTATGTTGGTTAAGCATATGACTAAGTTTCTCTCATATTGTGATGAAACAAAGCTGAAAAGATGTATAAAGATTCTACATCAAGTGATATCATTAATTTCTTGTCCATCTTCAAAGTTCTAATACATTCAATAAAATTATCTTTCATATCATGCTATATGACGTCTTTATAATGTGGCTTTAAAAGTTTAACCAGACATCAACTGCGTAGTTTGATAAACTGATCATATTTAAAACTGAGCGATGGAGTTAATTAGTTTTCTGAACTTTTGGTAGGTTATCAAGTCTATGTATTACCTTACCAATGGAACTAATTTTTGTGTATAAGTACTAGGAGATTGTTGTTCATTTCAATCTATCTGATGATTGTGTTAATCAAATAGTATAGCTCAGTATAAATAATACTTTGATTTTTCTAAACTCCAGCTGTAGACCTTTTGATTATTTGTGACATCTTAAACAAAAATTGTACTTGTTTAAAATGGAAGATATGCTGGTTTATTGTTAAGTTATTGATATTTAAAGAATGAGTAAGCAAACTGAATGTATTTTACTTATTTTTTTCACTTTTCAATTTCACTGATGATGAGGGTGACAAATATCACGCTAACGTTTTTTTTAAATATACTTTTTTACATAGGACATAGTCTTTATTTACATCAGGTAATTATCTACAGCTTTAAAAAAATTGATAAGATCTAATTTTCACTAAATTAAATGGCCTAAAGTCAACTGAATTTCGGGTTCTTATTCAGTACCATTTATTATAATTTGTATAGAATAATAAAAACATTAATCAGTAATGTTTTGTTAATCTGGTAATTGTACAACTTACTCACTTACTTACTTACGCCTGTTACCCCTCACGGATGAGCATAGGCCGCACACCAATATTCCCCATCCAATTTTATCCTGAGCAATCCTTTCCAGTTCTTTCCAGTTAACATTCATTCTTTTCATGTCTGCTTCTATTTTCCGGCGTGATGTGTTCTTTGGCCTTCATCTTTTCCACTTCCTCTCAAGATTCCAAGTTAAGGCTTGCCTCGTGATGCAGTTTGGTAATTTCCTCAATGTATGTCCTATCCACTTCCAACGTCTTTTCCTAATTTCCTCTTCAGATGGAAGCTGGTTTATCCTCTCCCACAGTGGGTTGTTGTTGATAGTATCCGGCCAGTGAATGTTGAGTATTTTGCGTAAACAATTGTTTATAAATACTTGTACCTTCTTGACAATGAATTGTGCAACTAATAGAATAAAATTATATATCATACATTCATCATATAACAAAACTTTGGAAATTACGTCATTTATATGTAAATTAATTGTCTCAGTGTTTCTTTAAGATACTATTATTTAAGTTTAATTCTTATGGATACTTCTTTTTAAAAAATTTATTACCAGCATTCAAACTGTAGTAACTAGAATAAAACAATTATGAATATAAACAAATATGTTAGATGAAAACACCGTTTGAAAATGTTTTATTAGAAAATATTGGAAATAGTACATTAGAAATAGAATATTAGCATAAACAAAATATGTAGGTATCATTACCAAGTTTTGATTTGATAATTTTGAATAAATTGAGCATTGGGTAGATTGTTATAAATAAATTAATATATTTGTAATATCCCAATGAGTAGAAAAATTAGATTTTCTGACGTTTCGTGACTCAGTGTAAGCCACTTCTTCAGAGAATAAATAACCAAATTAACATTAATCCAAGTTAAAATAGTACAACGGGACAAAAAACAGGTCTGAATAAATCGATGTCATGTCATTTCGGTCAAGGTAATTCGTAAGCGATACGTATGCAAATTTGTGTGTGTGTATATTTTTACTGTTAATGATGAAAATGTGTGACCTTTATAATGACAAAGGAGAGAGTTTAATTTGTAAAGTAATAGTGTGAATTGTAAATAATATCATTAAGATACTGCAAATAGATTATTTATTTATAACAATCTATCCAATGCTCTATTTATACAAAATTATCAGATCAAAACTTAGTAATGATACCTATGAACTCATTAATGTCATTAAATATTTACAAACGACACGTAAACAATTTTGTTCTGAGTTTTGTATGTTTTTTTTCATTGAAATCCTTCCTTTAAAGTATTTTGATATTATTTCTAATGAACTGTTTCAGTATTAAACATATTATTATTGATCATAATTAATTGACTCATGATTTCAACCATAAACATTACTAAAATCTCCACAAAACCCCCTTCTGATATTAATCAATATATGCTCACTAGGGACTGACTTCAAGAGATATTTCCTGAAGTTCTAGTAAGAAGCAGTGACCAGTGGAGTTCAACCGGATCAGTTGTGAGATAGTAATTCACTGAAGACGATGGTAGACAGTTGCTCAATTTCGTGGATTGGTTGAAGTTAGACATTACCATCGTTGGATGCTGGCTCAGCGGTCTAAAGTTTAAGCGCTCGCGCATGAGACTGATGGGTCCTGGGTTCGAATCTCTCGAGGCGGGACCGTGGACGCGCACTGGTGAGGAGTCCTAAAATAGGACAAAACGGCCGTATAATGCTTCCGTGTTGGTCTAGCTTCAATTGACCAATGATTTCAACTATAAAATTACTAAAATCTCGACAAAACTTCCTTATGAAACTAAGTATACGTTTATTACATGATTTTATATTTTATTTTACTAACTTCGCTTACACTTCTTCATTTCACATTATAAATTAAATCTAAACATGTGCAGTAGTAGTTTAGCGGGTAAACTGATAGGAATTCAGTTAATAAGCTATATAATTTAACCCGCATCTACGCTTGTCAGTTAGTACACTCAGAGATTTCCACTAACTTTCATATAGTTTGACTCAAAGGAGAATAATTGAATTTAAACTAGACAAATAATAAATTATTCAAGAATGACATTTAGCTTTTGATTTTAGTGATTAGCCACATTTATCCTTTCCATGTACGAAATAGTAAAAATAGACTAAGCTGTTAGTAGTTCATCACACTGATTACCTACCTACATCTTATCTCTATCTACAAAATGAGGAATTTGGTCAACCCCCTAAAAATCTGGCTGTCAATTAGAGTATTACAAAAATTTCAGAGATGCATATGTCAATCACTTTTACTCTTCACCTTAGATAGATTGTATTGAGCATATTTGATCTCTGAGTTAAAAGTATAGAATAATTTAGTTTTCCACAGTAATTTATGAAACACTAACTTCGTTTGAATCACCAGTAGTTTTAGTCAAATGAATATAGAAGTCAGTGATTTGTTATTTGAACTATTTATTACATAACCTCAACATATACTTTATCAACATATAAAACCTGATTATTACTTTCTAAAAAAAATTAATAAACAATTTATCAGAAGGGGGTTTCGTAGAGATTTTAGTAATTTTATATAGCACTCCCAGGTTTTCCATGGTGGTCTAGCTTCAATTGACTCATGATTTCAACTATATCAAATGAACAATTTATCGTATAAACTTTACAGGTATTCTGATTTATTTACTATAACTCAATTAGTGTATATATGAAATAATTTAGATAAGCTGAGTTAAAATTATTTCTTTTATAATATAAAATAGATATAAAGCTATATAATGAAATTTCATCATTAATAAACTATAATTTAAATTGAATTCATAAGTTGATTTAAGCTAGACAACAAATTGAAAAGCTGGAAGCACTGGACGGCCTTTTTGTCCACAAACCCTCTTTTCTAATCATGATTTAAGTAATTATCAATTCTTTCTAGTTTTCCTGACGTATTGTTGTATTGTAGAATTTGAATGTCTTTCTATGTCAAGTAATTTGCACAATCACTTGAGTAAATAATATAAAAAATGGAAAATATTATGATTGACTTTACTATGAACCACGACGAGCTGAAAAATTTCAAAAGATGCGTTTTATCAATGGACATCAGTTTGTAAGCAAAAACTATTTTAAGTAAACGTAGATCTCATAAAAT